GCGCACGGATCAACCGATTTGAATGGTTCAAAAAAACATTCGATTTCTATTGATAGGAAGATATGCTGATTAGTTTTTGGGCAAGGCAGACCCAGTAGTTACGGAGACAAAGAGCAAAGAGTGCAGAAAATAGAAATCGAGTTTTTGAGAGAACGGAGCATCCGATTTGAATGACCTCAAAAACATTCAATTTGTAATGATTGGGAGAAGAGATGATTCGTTTTTGGCGAAGGCAGGTCTAGCCATTTTGAAAATACAGAGCTAAATGTGCAAAAAATGTCAGTTTTTGAGAGAACTAAGCGTCCGATTTAAATGATTCAAAAAAAATTCTGCTTGTTTTAACAAAATAATTGATTTTGAAAAAAAAAATTTGTTTAAAAAAAATTTTTTTTTTAATTTTTTTTTTTCAAAAAAATTTTTTTTTGTATATCGAAAATAATTCCGATTTTAATTTTAATTCTGACTAAAGCTCTAATATACTTTAAACAAATAATTTCAACTTTGCAATTCTGTTTACATAATTCTTATAAATACTAGACAATGTCACAATATTTATTTGAAAACATTTAATATTCTTCGAACATTTCGTTACGGTACGGGAAGTTCCAGCAATTTGCCTTAAGGCACGATGCCATACACCGATGTTTTTTTTTTTGAAGATTTGAACAGATGTGTTGGAATTATAAACGTCAATTTGTAGCTAGTAATTTTCTCCATTTAAAAATATTTCAATTATTAATTAAATTATTATATTATGTAATTAACTATCAATTCCCATGTATTTTCTATGAAATGATCCCTAGACGAATACACATAGAGCGCGAGTGTTTGACCTGAAACGCGGTCAGCCTCGTTCAAGATTTCGCTTTCAATAGAAAGTGCATTTGTTCGCTGCACTCGGAGCCGCTTTTGCCGGCTGGCTGCCCTCGTACCTTACCGGGTGCATTAATATTATATATTACATCGATTATGCTGATTGATTGAGGAAAAATCGTTTTTATGAGATTCTATTGATTCTGTGATTGGTACTTTCACGCGATTGTTACGACTCGTGGTAAAAGTCTTAGATGCTGTGAAGTCGTTTGGAATTGTCATTTGGTGGTGTATGTTATTTGAATCTTCTACAGAAGTGATTCCCAAACATTTTGACCAACACCCTCATTTCCAGAAAAAATATTACTCTATATATTATTCTCGGAATTTGTGAGTGGAAAGGGTTAAACCTCTATTCAAAAACAATATTGACCTAGAATAAATAAACAATATTACGTAATAATAATATAACGATATTGCTATACTAAGCAATAATCACAGTGCTTCCCGACAAACACAAGAAGAATAAGCTACAAATGTGGCTTGCCAAATGGAAGATTTGCATAAATGAAACCAAATCAGTTCATATCACATTTACCCCGAGAGAGGGTTCCAAAACGGACCGTAAAATATCTTGGTCTCCATTTAGACAGCAGACGTACTTGGAAAAACCACATAAAAACAAAAAGCAGCAAATAATGATCAAAATGAAAGAATTTGATTGGCTACTGCGTAAAAGGTCTAAGCTCTCTGTTGAAATAAGTTGCTGCTATATAAATCAATCATTAAACCAATCTGGACCTACGGAATTGAGCTCTGGGGACGTGCTTACAAATTAAGTATAGCTATAATGCAGAGAACTCAGTCAAAAATTTTACGTACAATATACTTAATTCTTCGTGGTACGTTACAAATGAAACCATTCACAGTGATCTCAACATGAAAACGGTGCAAAACTAAAATTTTACAACTAATATCGAATTTACGTACTGACTAAACTTTTAAAAATAACATCAATATAATTATCGTGATTTCATGAAGTAGAATTTATTAGAGTATAATTCAGTAATCAGGCAGATGATTGAAATGTTAAATAAATAGTTAAATAGAAATTAATACACTGGGTTAATGATGATGTAAATTATAAAATCATCATTGCCAGATCAAACCAAAATATATTATACGTTTGCTATTGATTTTTATACATTAGTTTTTTACTATTAGTTTTGTACTAAGTTCCTTTGTTAAATTTTGGAATATTATAAACATTCTCAGATAAATTTGAATATTGAGTAATAATGATTTTGAGTACTAAAGAGTAACAAAGTTATAAAATGAGATTGTTTTTTATCAATTAATTTTTAATAATTACTAAACAATGTATAATTTTATTGTGTATATTACCAACTTTAAATTTAAATTCCTCACAGGCATTCCAATCGAATATTGCAACATATCATTTAATCATTTTACCATATTACTCAATAACAAATTAATGCTATAGTAATGAAATTAATTTAATTTAATTAAATTCATCAAATTTAATTATCACAGAGACTTTTTATTTTATAGGATTAAATACCAAATGTCTACATTTATAATCTCGATCTACTTATTCTTTACCCTTGGGGTTTTGTCGACTTCTTCAATTTACAGTTTTAGTCGAACATCGTGGCAGGAATAAATAAATCTTGCCAAGACATAGGAATCTTATATAGACTGTTCAATTAACGAGATAAATGATTAAAGATAGAATTCCTCTACGTCTTAGGTTTTAAATAGGACGTCTTGTTAGTCACTTTGATGACAAAAATAGTGGTAAAAGTGGGAGAGCCACAATAAATAATTATTACAATATTACAATACTATCACTATTATATCACATAAAAAATTTAACAAAAATAATGCAACGTCTTTGTGTAAATGAAATTCTATAAAATAAAATTATAAGTTTTTTCTTATTTTTCCACTGACGATCACAATCTTTTACTACTTAATTTTCTCCTTTTAAAATTTCAATTCCACTTTAAAAATTAATTAAATATACACGCAGTATCAACAAGAATTATGTAAAAAGTGGTAGCCTACTACTCCTACTAGTAACTAAAAATTTAATTAAATTTTATGCAAATAAATGAACAAAAACATATGTTGTTGTGGACGTCATTATTTTGGTTTAACGATTATATGAGAATATGAATACATATGGGGGTTGGTTTTTATTTTTATATACGTTTTTTAACTCATAATTAAAACAAAACAGACATGGAACAAAATTATACACGTTCATTATAATGTGGACAGATATAAAAGAATTATTTATGAATATATTTTATGTTTCAATATGTACGTGATTATATCATATTCATGTATTCAAATCAAAGTTATATAATTTCATTCTTTGAATTTTATTTTTACATATTAAATACAGAAAACGATTAAATTAATGGGTCACTTTAATTAGTGTATAATAGAGAAACATATTGAATAAATAATGAATTATAATAAAAATAACTTATTTAAAAAATCATTATGTAAGTTTGTCATCTTCAATACTTCAATAAAATATATATTTCTGCATATTGCGTGAGAATGTTATCTATTCTTTTGATTTTTTTTTTAAATTAGCGAACTACTTCTGATAGTTAATTTATTACTTATTGATTTATTAAATACTAATTATAATTAAATTACTAATTATTAATTACTTATTAATTTAACTAAACATAATATACTTTTATATGATTCTGTGTTTTGCCTAATAATTTTATATATTAAACTAAATAATAAATATTAGTAAATACAAGTATATACAATGATAAAAAATAATTACTTGCTTCGTGAATTATTTTACTTTAGATGGAATATCAATATTATTAAATTCAAAAATTTTGTACTTAAGTTGTCACAATGCACCAAAAAATGCACTTATAGAATAATATACAATATAAAAATTACAAAAAATGTTCTAAATTAAAAATAATTAGTTCCAAAATAATGAATGAATATCATACTTTTTTTCTTATAGTTTATTATTGAAACAAAGAATACTCTTAAAGTTGTACTTATATTTTTCAGATTGTCTAATCAAAATTATTGTCTAATAAAAAAAATTAAAACAGTTTTAGAGGTTTGGGGTTGGTATAAGAGGCATCATTAAATATTAAAATTTATACCGTAATTATCAACTTCCCGTAGGGCAACTTATAGTAATGGCAAAAAAAATCGAAAGTGAAAATTTTTATATATCTTTACGTTTCAAAACCTCCTGAACAATTTGGCATACCTTATAAAAAATCGATGTATGTGTGTGTGTGCGGACGCAAATTTTCGTCGACGATTTCGGGAACACCGATCAACGGATTTGAATAATTCAAAAAACGTTCGATTCGTATTGATAAGGAGACGTGCTGATTAGTTATTGGCGAAGGCAGGTCTAGCCGTTCCGAAAATACGGGGCAAAGAGTGCCAAAAATGGTAACTCAGTTTTTAAGAGAACGGAGCGTCCGATTTCAATAATTCAAAAACATTTTACAATATTTATTAAACTGTGATATAATTGATTTGACATATGAAGATAAAATTAACATATTTATGGAAATGACTTGAAGTAAATAATATAGTTGTAAAATAAAAATAAATTGAGAAAAGTGGATTTAAAATAATAACAACATTTTGGTTTTGAATTTTTTACCACAAACATTCAATAATATAGTTGTAAAATAGTAATAAATTGAGAAAAGTGGATTTAAAATATTAACAACATTTTTGTTTTGAATTTTTTACCACAAACATTCTTTACCACAAATATTTGTCGCAAATTATAAGTAATTAACAATATTGAAAATATTGAAAAGAAAAATACTTTATTTAGAAAACGCACGTTGTTTCTAAAAATATTGTATTTGGGTAAAATTATATTTTATCCCACTTGTCAGAAAACTACCAGGGCAAACTTGAAAAAAAATTTTTTTTTTATTTATTTATTTATGGCTTTTAATCTAAAAAAAGTTAATTTTCAAAATCTGACAATTTATATTTTTGATGTTTGTTTTTTTACTTATTTTCATTTCAGGATAGGTGTCAAAATTACCATATGGTGAAAAAAATTCTTATATTTTAAGTCATGTTCAAATTTTTTTTATTAAAATTTTAACAGTGATTATAATTATAATTTTTGTACTCACGTTGATCATCATCACAAAACACAGCAGCTGCAACAGCAACAAGAACCACTATTTGTTTAATCATTTTGTAAATTTTATACTAAAAGTCTTTCTATTCTTTGAACTTCACTCAATCTTAACCAGATGATTTAAATTTAAATACTCTATATATTTCTCTATCAATAAATCATAGATTCGTCTATATTAGAAATGTAAATGATAACAAAACCGATCGACCTGCGTCTCGAGATAGTTTCAGGTGTACGTGAGAGATTCAATGAGTAAGGTGCACCCCACTTTGCGCTTTTATATCGCTGACAATCGCGTTAAACGGCAACGGCAATTACTTCATACGGGCCAGGTCTTTGGTGTTTTGCCGGACTACGATGCTCTAGGTTTGGGAAAAACGTCAGAGAAATTTTTATTATTGTCTAATAGTCAGATAAACAGATTTTATAGAGGTTATAAGTTGTTTAGACAAATGCGGGTCACAAAACTCGATTTTTTTTTTAACAAACCCTATAGAATAACTCCTGAGGTGGATAAAAATGCAAATAGTAAACTGAAGTTATACTTACAATTATATAGCTGTTTTAGCAATATCTTAGGAATATTGTATATTATTTAATTAAATTATTGTTGTCTAATAGTCAGATAAACAGTTTTTGTAGAGGTTATAGGTTGTTTAGACAAATGCGGGTCACAGAACTCTAATTTTTTTTTTTAATAAACCCTACAGAATCCTGAGGGGGATAAAAATGCAATTAGTGAACTAAAGTTATACCTGCAATTATATAGCTGTTTTAGCGATATCTCAGGAATGTTGTATATTAATTAATGACGTTATAGTTGGGCATTGGTACTCATAGAACAATAATAGTACTTCATTGAATTCATTTTTGTGATGTAAGAAAGTTCACTAATTGATTTGTTTTTAACTTCCCGTAAGGTAAGTTATAGTAATCGCAAAAAATCGAAAATATTTTTTTTATATATCTTTACGTTTCAGAGGTTTCTGAATATTTTGGCATACTTTAGAAAAAATGGATGTATGTGTGCGTGTGTGTATGTGTGTGCGGATACAAATTTTCGTCGAGGATTTCGGGAACACGGATGAAGCGATTTGAATAATTCAAAAAACATTCGATTCGTATTGATATGGAGACATGCTGATTAGTTTTTGGCAAAGGCTGGTCTAGCCGTTCCGAAGATACGGGGCAAAAAGTGCCAAAAATGGTGACTCATTTTTTAAGAGAACAAAGGGTCCGATTTTAATAATTCAAAAAACTTTTTACTTGTATTGACAAGATGAAGAACTGGTCAAATTTTCATAAAGGAAGTCAAGCGGTTTCGAAGATCTAGTAAAAAAAGTAAAAAAAAATGCCATTTGGCGGTCAAAGATGATCATTAGACATATGCACATCAAATTATCAGATATTTATAGAAATTTTAACAATAAGTATGAATTTTGTTTACATTCCTATAAGTTTCGTACCAATGTTTATGCGTTAGATGGCGACGCGGCGAAAGCTTTGAAAAAAAGTTCAGAATTTACAAAATATTTCAAAATCAACTTTTCTTCAAAAAGTCTTTTTTTAAAAACAAAGTAAATTTTTGTCAAAAATTTATAGTTTCTCAAAAATCTAATTTTTTAGAGTAAATTTTTTTCAAAAATGTTAATCTTTAAAAAAAAAAAATTGGTACGGGAAGTTCCAGCAATTTGCCTTAAGGCACGATGCCATGCGCCCCAGTAGTTCTTAAATTTTTGCTATCTGTCTTCTAATATAATTAATTGATTAACAAAGACCAGAATTTCAATTAGCTTTAAGATTTATACATTCTCCATAGAAAACAGTTTTTGTATAGTACTCGAGCAGTCTAGACGGTTCTGCTCCTTTATTTTCATCTTAATTGACAATTATACGTATTTTGAGAAACACGTTCTGACGAATTGTCCATAATTACTTGTCGCATCAATTATTACTTCGACTAAAATTGTAATTTGAATATGAATAAATATCAAAATTTTATAGAGATATGTTTGTGGTATAAATAATTTTTTTGCTAGAGTTTGATCTGTTAGAGAAAAATTTCTTAGAACATGTGTACCGATTAAGTTTTATTTTTTTAAATATTATGATAATTGATTTTTAAACATATGTTACTGTAAAATTTTGCTTTGTGGATAGCATAATTATTATAACAATAAAAAACATTTCCACGATCATAATAAAAAATATTACCACAATAGACATTACAGCAAAGATTTATAAATATTGTAATAAATTACATTTTTTATGTTTATTGCTATTAACTAAGTTGAGAACAAAGATTTTAGTTAATAAAAAAACATTTTTTATTTGTCATATCATTTATAGCTGTTAGTGGACCAACAAATAAATAACAAGAAGTAGAAGTTACCAGTATCAATTTAATTTTAAATAAAGAATCTAAATGAGTGGGATTGAAATAAATTTATATATAAAAAATACCTAAAAAATTAAAAAAATATTCCCAATAAGTATACAGATTTTTAGTGGATGTAGTTTGCACATCTTCTTGGAATATAAGAAGAAATATAAATGTAGAATTTTGTTTACTACACATATATATAGTCAAGTATATATTGAGTTAATAATGAAGTAAAAATATGCACATTATTTGGAAGCAAATCGTTATAAATATAATTATGAATACTTTTTGAAGTTCGGAATCAAGCATTGCGCTTAAGTAATTCTAATCAGAATCTATGCCTGTGGTGCATATGTACGTTCTATGCTGTTTCGTAAGTAGCTACTGATTACAGTTGACGTCCGCACTTGAATAAAATACATTTTTAGAACTTGGAATGAATGAAATGAAACGCGTTAACAAATTAATTATACAACTACAGATTTTATGTTTGAAAGACATGAGTTGGAAATCGTATTGATGATTTTTAGTAAAGGCGAAAAGTTTATCATTTATAATGAACAGTTGAACATTTTACTTAAAATAACAGAATTTTATACAAGCATCTTTATACAACTTGCCTTAAACAACTTGCCAACAGCTAGTTAATTTTCCGTAGGGTAAGTTATAGTAATCGCAAAAAAATCAAGAGAAAATTTTTGCGTATCTACACGTTTCTTAGAAAAATTGATATATAAGTGTGTGTATGTATGTTTGGGTAAAATTTTTTGCTCGATTTTAATAATTCTGAAAACATTTAATTCGTATTGACTGGGAGACGTGCCAACTCGCTGTTAGTTTTTGACAATTTTTTTAAGTTTCTGCAATTTGCTTAAGCACAATGTCATGCAGTACTACTAATTATTATTACATAGACGTTTTCTTGTTACTACATTTTGTTTATTCCTAAATCAATCTTTGAATCGTTTTAGCCCGCTCTCCCAGCATCTATTTTCCTAACGGCAACCTAGGCCGTGTTCTGGGTTGTCGGTTCTCGGTCCAGCGGCTCCGTCGTCGTCGGGGCCTTGAAGTGATTGCGCCTATGGCAATTTGCCACCCGCAACCCCGTTACATAACAAGAATTGTCCTTGCCTTTAACAAGCGGATACAATGGAAGATGTAATGAAGTCGATAACCTAACCTAATGAATGATGTATTCGACACGACGATATTCATTGAAATTCATGTAATGATGCATAATATCGAGATCCTTGAACGGACTATTGAAATCTGTCTAATTATCTGGAATATGATTGTCCAACGCGCCGATGATAAGTAATTGGAGGGTTATTAGTTAACTATGCGATTATTTGAAGCTTTGTAGAAGGGTTTTTCTAATACAAACTATTTTGGCAGAATTAGATTATATACTCACACTATTTATTGTAATTTCTACATATTTTCAAATACAAAAAAGCATCTTGATTTTTTTGGTCAAAAATGGACTTTTATCAATAATCGGCCTTGTCTCACATTGAAGAATAAACAAGCTATTGTATTCGTCTCCGAAATTTACATAACACTCATCGGTAAATATTAAAAATGCTGACCATTACATACTGTAAATTAGCAGTTATATTGGTCAAATATTGAATGTTTTTGATACTAAAAAATGCGTAATAAACTAATACTTATATGCATTTATTGCTGGAAAATTTATGAAAAAGTAGTAATAAAAATGTTAAAATAACATACTTCATGTATTATCTAATTACCAAAAATGAGTTTAACTTGAAAGAATCATGCTAAGTAATTATAGAAGTGGTTGTGCCTTAAAAATGTTTTATTTTCTTATACGTGATTTGGGTATTGTAATAATTTGCAGACATAGACAATTAAATTTCATCTATATAATTATAAAATCATAAAATTATAAATAATAAAATTTTGCTTCGTACGCACTTATATAATAAAAAAAGAAAACATTTTCATAAGTACAATAAAAAATTATTCCACAACGGATTTTGCCAAATATTTAATAAACGTTATAATTATAATAAGTTTACAACAAATACTTTAGTAAGGAAGAAACACATTTTCGACATAAGTGTCAATAAAAAAATATATTGTATAAAAAAAATGTATATAAATTTCTCATTCATTTCTTTTAGTTATTATAATTAGAATTCAGTTAAGTAATACCACTATATAAATGATTATTTATTCATTACATACTTGAAATTCAGAGTAATAATACTAAATTTAAACGTTTTTGTATGTAACAAAAATATAACATTTAATCATTCTTTCATCGTTTTTTATGTCCACTTATCAGAATTTTTGCTTTGAATATAAAATTCTCAGGAACCCATCTCATAGTGCTTCTGATAATTACAA